CGCGTGCACTCCCGTCGAACGCCAGGAGTGCAATCGTCGATTATCTCACTCTTGTTAAGGTCAGATGCACTTTGCTGTTGTTTACTGGTTTGTTTGTTTGTTTGTTGGGTGAGTAAAAAATGAGGGAATGAGTGAGTGAGTTATTGATTTGTCTGTTCATTTATTCTTCTGTTCATTCATTCATTCATTCATTCATTCGTTCATTCATTCATTCATTGGCAGGGTGGTGAAAACCAGGTTAAAAAAGTTAATTTGTCAAGCCTATCACTACATCCACACATCCAGTAACTATTTCTCACTTCTTTTTTTGTTCATTCATTCATTCATTCATTTGTTCATTCATTTATCTATTTATTGATTCATTGATTCATTCATTCATTCATTCATTCATTCATTCATTCATTCATTCGGTTAATGTATCACAGTTCATCATCATCATCAGTGGTAGCCTAGAATCGTCTGTCATCATCATCATCATCGCCACCATCATAACCGTTACTATCATCGTCATCACTATTATCACTACTATCATCATCACCACCACCACCAGAGAATCATTATCAATACTCAACGATCGATTTTTCGAAGACTACGCCATCTGTAAGCAGAACTTCCTGAATGACGACTCCAAGATGCTGAAGATGATGAAGATGCTACCAGATGATATCCTTGATGATGATGGCCATGATGATGATGATGATGATGATATTGATAATGACGATGATGGTGATGGTAGTGATGGTGATGTGGATATAGAATTTATTCAGTTTGGTTTTACTTTTAATAGATATTGTTACTCTCTTAACTTCAATCAATCAATGAAACAACTGACCAACCAACCAACTGACCTGCCAATCAAACCAACCAATCAAACCAACCTACCAACCAACCAACCGACCGACCGACCGACCGACCAGTCGACTAATAAACTGACCAATCACAAAACAACAAACACATCTCCAAACAATGATCAAAAAGTTTCTCGACCAGCAAGACCCAAGTAAATTGAACTCTAAAAATAGATGGGAGGCCCTCAAAATACACGCTGACAAGAAGAGAAGCCAATTGATTGACGTTGGTTTTGTCTGATTGGTTGGTTGATCGGTTGTTTGATTGGTCCGTTAATTGATCGGTTTGTTGATTGGCTGATTGATTGATTGACTGATTCATTTCAGTCCAATCATATTCAATCATTTTACATTCAGTTTCTCAGCCAATCAAAGTTCTTCATTTAAAAATGGCTCAACTATTTTGCCAGTCAGACAAATTTTTTAATTTGATCCAATAAAATTCATTGATTTCATAAAAAATTCACCCAATCAATTCGTTTGTTTTAACTGGACCAATCGAATTCGTCTGTTTTAAACTGGACCAATCAAATTCGTTTGTTTTGAATTGATGACCTAATCGTATTCATCTATTTCAAATCAGCTATCCAATGAGAAGAAGCCACCAAAAGATATCAGAGAACAACTGAGAAAGCACAGCCATCTAGTTGAAGAAATTAAACTTCAATACTGTTACCCTAGGTTGATTGGTTGATTGAATGAATGAATGAATGAATGAATGAATGAATGAAAGAGCGACCAAATACTTGATTGAATGAACAAACGGATGAATGAATGAACAAATGAATGAATGATTAAACGAATGAATGAATGAAAGAGCGACCAACAACTTGATTGAATGAACAAACGGATGAATGAAGGAATGAATGAATGAATGATTAAACGGATGAATGAACAGATTGGATGCCAACGTCACGAAAGGAGTAAACCATTTATTGAAGAGTCCATTCTGCATTCATCCCAAAACCGGTTCGTCTCTCTATCGTTACGATAATAATAATAATATTAATAACAACAACAACAACAATAATGTTATTATTATTGTTATTATTATTATTTTTGTTAGGGCGAGTGTGTGTTCCATTTTGTGCTGAAGAAGTCTGGCAGTTCAATCCATTTACTGTTCCAACAATCACGTTTGTTGTTGTTATTATCATTATTATTTAATTATTATTATTATCATTATTATTATTATCATTATTATCATTATTATTTAATTATTATTATCACAATTAATACATTTGAAATATCCATTTGAAACATTTGAAACATTTGTCTCTCATTAATTTATTATGAACTGATGATTTTATGCAGCAGTTTCGTCGTCATATAGTGTTTACTGTGATAGAAATGCAAATTGAATGAACCATTTAGGACTAACCTTCTTCTAACTTCTCTATTATTATTATTATTTAATTATTATTATCATAATTATTATTATTTATTATTATTTAATTATTATTGGTAAATAAATAATTTTTTTTCGCTTTCCAGGCAGTTATGTAATGAACTGGATAACCTTGACGTGACTGATGCGAAGAAAAAAAAAGGTGTGTGTGTGCGTGCGTGTGTGCGTGCGCGTGTTTGTGTATGCGTGAAGAATTGTGGATTTGTGATGGCGAATTGTGATGATTTGTAGTCTAGTAAGGTACGTGATAGATTGGATTTACATCGCGATTGAATCCAGTTACTGCGGTAGCTGTGCCAGGCGTTATACCGCTAGACTATCACGCCGCCCGATATGATTCATCATGGATGAGTAATGAATTATGAGGAATTGTGAATTGTGATTTCAGACTTCCCGCTGTGCAAAAGTTTGAATGACGCCGTTGAGGTTTTCAAAAAGTTTGTTGAAGATTTGGAAAAGTCATTCTTAAAAAAGAGGAAAGAACAAAATGGTAGATTCTGGAGCTTTCTAGAATTTTCTAATTTCGATTTTTTAAAATTTATTCTTTAAAATATTTGTATAATATTAATTAATTAATTTAAATATTTTTATACAATTTTATTTATTATGAATTTTTTTTAAATTTCCAATTCAGATATGACCCTACAGTTTTGAGCTCAACAACGAAATTCATTTTTTGTCTCCGTAAAACAAAGATAAAATAACTATAGTTTCTGTATCTATGTTTCTCTCGGTAACATAGATACAGAAGTAACAGTTCTCATATCTATTGTCTGTATTTAACTAGCATGAAAAGACAGAATCTAGTACCATATTTTTTTGGTTTTCAGGCTCTCTTAGTAAAGTTAAGTAAAGTTGTTTAAGTAGTGCTTCAAAGTTACGCTTGAAATTTTGGTGACTATCAATTGTTGGTAATTGTAGTTAATTGACTGGTTAATTGATTACTTAATTAACTGGCCACTTAATTACTTATCTAATTGATTGTTTAGTCACATTACCAAAAATTTCGAATTAGTTGTTTGGTGTTTTAGTTTAATTAATTGTGATGATTAGGTGTTTTTTTTTGAGTTTTGAATCTAAAGTTACCAGCACGTATGTCGGTAATAAATCATTTATTTCTATTTGTATCTGTAAAGTATTATATAGTGTTATATACGGTTATATAGGTTTATATACAGTTATGTCATGCTATAGTTCCATTTCAGTCGGCATTGAGCAATTTCTCCACCCTTCACGGCAAGGTTGTAGTAACGTTTGGATACCTGCAGTACCATTTGTGAGTTCAGAGGGCCCTGCTGCCTTTCCATTATTCATAGCTTTCAGAGCTAGAAGTTCTTACTTTCATCTACATTGAATAAAAAAACTTTTGCCTTTCCTTGACGATCCTCTTCTCCTTGTTACTTCTTTAGTTTTATCTAGGATTGATTATTGGGACTCGCTCTACTACGGTCTTCCTAGAACCTATCCTTTAAGTAAAGCTTTTAACTTTGCTGCTCGTCTGCTTAAACGTGACCCTTTCTTTTCTCATATATCTCCATATCTTGTTTTCTTGCACTGGCTACATATGAGATATAGAATAATTTTTTAAATTTGCACACATTTATAAGTCTCAATCTAAATTATTTCTTTAGTACTTATCAGATATATTAATTGAACCTAATCCATCTTGTCGTCTTCTCACTTCTTAACTCGTGTTAAACACTCCTTTGCTAAATCTGCGTTTGCTTTATTTTGGTCCTTTTCTCTGGAACTCCCTACCACCTTCCTTGACTAATTCTTTATCGCTTACGAAGTTCAGAGTGGATCTCAAGACCCATCTGTTTGCAAAATTCATTGAGGAGCGCTGTTGCGGAAATGGCGCTTTATAAACTAGTTGATTGATTGAATTTAAATTGATCATTTTAATTAGCTATATTACATATATTTAGATTACTTAGTAATATAATATTTATAATTTAGTTAAGGGTGGTCTCCACAAGTATTTAGTTACTTTTTGATCTGAAATTTCGTTCAAATAAACTTGTATAAAAAGTGTATAGCATCAATTGTCTAATAAGTACTTTTATCCGTAGATTAATCATACCCACAATAATTTTTTAAAAGTGAACCCTGATTGATGTTGACATTTGAATTTAAAACTTCGCTAAGCTACGCGTTTTCGAGTTTAAATAATTTAATTTGTTTCTAATTTGTTATAACCTTTAATTTAATTAATTAAGTACTTTAATTTGAAGAATTAAAAAATTTATAATAATGTTTGGCGTCGTTTTTAATGGACGTCTTATAACATGGTGAGATTGGATGGAATCTTATTTTTAATTTAATTTTTCATTTAAAAAAATTGTTTTCATTTAATTAAACTTAAAAAATTAAATAAGTATTTATTTCATTATTTTGTTTCACTGTTAGTGTTAGATGGTTTCTTAGTTACATTACTCACCTACATTATAACAGATTTAAGATTATGTAGTAAAAATTTCATCTTACATTTTTTTCTTCCATTTCAATGTAATTTAAGTAGCTAAAATTTAAAATATTAAATACAATTTGTTTTTATAGCCAAAGATTCATAAAACCACTAAAAGCAAATTTCATAAAAGTGGCCACAAAAGCAACAGCATCAACACTGTCCTCAGATGAAGTAGCAACATTTGACCGGCTATCAAAAAATTGGTGGGACGATGTTAGTGGCCCGGTTAAACTTTTACACTCGATGAACGAATTACGTGTTCCACTAATTAGGGATGGTCTAACTAAACACCCCACTGCACCTGTCCATAAACCTTTGACTGGGTTAAAGATACTGGATATTGGCTGTGGAGCTGGCATATTAAGTGAGGTCGACCTCATTTTATTAGGTCATATCATACTATATATCATACCATATCATATCATATATCATCATATATCACACCATATCATATCATATATCATACCATATATCATATCAGATATCATACCATGTCATAGCATATATCATCATATATCACACCATATCATATCATATATCATACCATATATCATATCAGATATCATACCATATCATAGCATATCATATATCATCAAATAGTAATAATACTGCTAATAAAAATATAGTTATAAGATAACAGTATAATATAAATTATTGTTTTAAGAAAAATTTATCAAAAATATTTTATACAAAAAATTTTATTTTCATTTCTTTGTAGCCATTGGCTAGATTAGGGGCTGAAGTCTTAGGCATCGATGCCTCTGATGAAAACATCCAACTGGCCGACTACCGAGCTAATCTCGATGAACGATTAAAAAAAAACTTAAGGTATAAGAAGTGTCTGGTTGAAGAATTAGGAATTGGAAAGGAGGACAGGGAGATGGCAGAAGACTTTGAATTTGATGGAGTGCTTATGTCAGAGATCGTTGAACACGTGAAGAACGTTGAGATGTTTGTTCGTTCTTCTTGTTCTTTTGTCAAGGTTTTTTTTAGGCAGATTATTTTTATTGTTTTTATTTTCATATTTCATGTTAACTAATAATTTAATTAGATGTTGTTGCGTGGTAACATGTCCACTGCTGTGTTTAAAAATTTATTTTTATTTTTAGTAGTAGTTGTAGTAGTAGTAGTTGTAGTAGTAATAGTTGTAGTTGTAATTGTAGTAGTAGTAGTATTAGTATAATTAATACTATAATTAATAATTATAATAATTATAGTAATAATAAAATAGCCAGGTGGCTCGATGTTCATCACAACTATAAATAGAACAAAGCTGAGCTATCTATCAGCCATCGTTGCAGCTGAGAAAGTTGGAAAATTATTATTAATTATAATTAATAATAATCCTAATATAATTATTTTTAGGTTATTATCCAATTAATTTATTTCATTACTCCTATATTTAAATGTGGTATTATTCTTACATTACTTTATTATCATTAGCCAGAATTATACTTAATTATTATTGGTCATAATTATTCCACTACTTCAATTATAATTATTTATAATTAATTATGGTTAATGTCTTCTCAGATGTTGAAGATAGTTCCGAGTGGTGTGCACGACTGGGACAAGTTTGTCACTCCAGATGAACTGATGGACATTCTGAAGAGAAGTAAATAATAATAATAATATAATAATAATAAAGCACACACACACACGCACACACACACGTACATACACACACGCACACACACACACACACATGGTATGTAAACATGAGTTAATATCATTTTATTCGTATCTAATGTGAATTCATTCATCTCTGGTGGTACCATTCTATCTACATTTGCTATCACTGGCAGATAATTTCCAGATTCGTCTACTCCACGGCATGTGTTTGAACCCGGCGACGGAGCGCTGGAGCTGGTGCAACAACACTCTTACCAACTATGCCATGCACGCTGTTAAGATGGCTGAGAACGGCGGTATTCGTTTGGAGGGAAGTAATGACGAGAAAAATTCGGGTATCAGCGGTGCTTGAATGGTACTGGCTTGGCTTAAGTTGTGGTTTTGTTGTATTTTGAGGTGTTTCTAAGACAAACGATGACAATTGTTTCGATTTTTGTTTGTTATTATGCTATTTTATGTTATATATTTATTATTTGGTTTATTATTTTAGTTATTATTATTATTAAATAATCATAATAGGGTCTGTAAATGGTTTTTTATGGAACAGTCATTTTTTTTCTTTGAAAATTTGAAAATAAATTCATGAAATCGTATTTTGTTGTTCGTTGAGTTTATGTTTCATTCAATCATTCCATTCATTCGTTCATTCATTCATTCATTCATTCATTCATTCATTCATTCATTCATTCACCATCCATTCATTCATATATTCATTCAATCATTCATACATACAAACACACACACACACATATACACACACACACACTTACATACTCACGGTTAAAAATACTGAGAAAGTATATTCGCACACTTATTTAACTGCTTCTTCATCTTAGTGTGTGAATTCTTCGACTATGATTAATAAAAATAAATAATATTAATAAAAAGAAGAATCATAATTTGTAATGATACTTTTAACGATCTATTTGATATCTCTATTGTAGTTACAAAAGATTGTGATTTTTATTCTTCTAACTAATTTGCATTAATGGTTTCGACAATTAAAGAAATATTTTTTTAAATTATACTTGTAGTAGTGGTAGTAGCATCAGTAGTAGTGGTAGCAGCAGCATTAGTGGTAGTAGCAGCAGCAGTAGTAGTGGTAGTAGCAGCAGCAGTAGTTAGAGTAGTTGTATTTTTACTATTAGGTGATTGTGAGCGTGCTTTTTAGCTGCCTAAGTTTACAAAATTACTTTTATTACTTTAATTTTAAAAGTTGCAATATATTATTTATTATTATTGTTTTTATTATTATTGTTGTTGTTGTTTTCGCAGTATGACTCATAAACAATCTTTTTCTATTATTATTATTATTGTTAAGAAAAACTTATAATTAGCACAATGATGAATGAGGAGCTAAGCATTGTTCTGGTGTTTGTAACCGTACTGAAAGAAAAGATGATGAAGAAGATGACGATGATGATGATGGGGAAGATGAAGAAGAAGATGACGATGATGGTGATGGGGAAGATGAAGATGACGACGATGATGAAAAAGGTGAAAATGACGATGATGATGAAGATAAAAATGATGATGATGATGGGTCTTATAAAGCTTTGTAGGTCTGGGCCTACTTACATGTCCCTCGTTCACCCAATTACGCATCAAAGATGATACTACTACTAATACTACTACTACTACTACCACCACCACTACTACTACTACCACCACCACCACTACTACTACTACTACTACTACCCTACTACTACTAATACTTCTACTACTGCAAATATTATTATTATTTTTATTATTATTATTAATATTATTTATTACTACTGTTAATATTAATATCTTCACGACAAAAAGAGAATATTCAAAAACATTTCATTTGAATCGACATTGGATTACACCCATCATTCATTCATTCGTTCGTTCGTTCGTTCGTTCTTTCGTTCGTTCGTTCATTCGTTCGTTCGCTCATTCATTCGTTCATTCATTTGCAGATATGATCACGCACACACACACACACACACACACACACACACACACATTCATCAAGTAAGTTATTAAGTTATTCCAAGAATTTCGTCGACAAAAATACTTAGTATTTAGACAACTACACTACTACTACTACTACTACTAATAATAATAATAATAATAATAATAATAACAATTATGATATAAATTATAATAATAATATAGTTATGTATAATAATATTAATTAATATCAATAAAATATATGACAACACTAGTGTGAATTTTATTGCTTCAGTAAATTATTAACAATTTGTTCCTCCCATGTTTTACAAGTTTGTTCATTCATTCATTCATTCATTCATTCATTCATTCATTCATTCATTCATTCATTCATTCATTCATTCATTCATTCATTCATCTGTCATTTTTTTGTATTTTCAGTCGTTCATTTGTTTGCCATTCATTTGTTCGTTCGTTCGTCCGTTCTCTCAATCATTCGTTCGTTCACTCCTCGTTTGCTCGCATGTTTATACTTTCTTTTTCTTTCGTAGATTGATCGAGTTGTTCGCTCGTTCATTTCCTTATTTTTAGTCACTTCGGTGTTGATACGTCCATTGATCTGTTCATTTATTTGTTCGTTCATCCATTCGCTCATTCGTTCACCCATTCATCCATCTTTCATTCATTCATTCATTTAATCATTCATTCTTTCATTTATTTGTTCATTCCTCCATTTCTTCATTCGTTCATTTATTTATGGGCACATTAAATACATATTTATATGAACCATTGTTGTCATACTTCTATTCATTCACCCATTTTAATTGTTATGGTCATTCTTTTTTCTTTCATTCATTCAACCCTTTTATCCATCCATCCATCCATCCATTCACTCATTCACTCTTTCTTTTTCTTATTTGTTTAATCAATCACTCATTAATAAACGCTTTTAATAGGAT